TGGCTCAGGTCCTGATCTTAGGGCCCTGGGATTGAGCTCCGAGTTGGGCTCCCGGCTCGGTGCTTGGCGGGGAGTCTGCTTGAATAATCTCTCTCCCTCTGCCCAGCCATCTCTAAAATAAATAAATCAATCTTTAAAAAAAAATAGAGGAAAGGTAAAGATAGATTGGATTTTATTTAGAAGAAGGCCTTAAAGAGAGAAAGATAAGGAAAGAAATTTAAAGTCGATGGACAGATGCTGCTCAGGTGATAAGAAGGCTCTTTAATTTCTAGTTTAAATATAGTTGGAGCTTAGATTGTATCTAAAAGATTCTCAATTACATATCCAGAGGAATTATTTACCACCTACTTGTTAGGGCCTTAAACTGGTATTTCATTCTTCCCAGGTTCTAGTTAGTCTGTTGGCCAAAGTCATGTGGTGATAGAGGCAGTTTTGAATAATGTGTAAGAACCTTAATTCCTAAACCTCCTGTGAGCATTAACAGGATGTATTCATGCTCATACTTTTAGAAATGTTCTCTTGTATTTTAGCATCCTGTATGAGTGGCACTTTGCTTTGTAAAAAGATTTTTCTTTGGGGCCTTTGTTTATAACTTAAGCTTCATGAATTTTAATTTGAATAAGAAGGTAGCTTGCCCTAAAAACCTTAATAGGTAAATATAAGGAATGCATGGTAATAAAGCAGTCAGTATCCATTAATCTCCTTTATTCATCTCACATTTTTTATCTTAGTCTTATTTTTCTCCTTTCAAAAGCTAGTAAGTCCCTCATACGGTAGTGATACTTACAAAGCAGCTGTTCACACCTTGGAATAGAAGAAAATTACCAGCTGATAAATGCAGAAAAATTATAGAGTTGTTGTAAATCACCATTTTTCACCTATTAATAAGACGATGGATCTGGAGTAGATTGTGTTTACCGGTCACTGCTAAAACCACTCCGTGAAAGGCTGAGGGAAGGTTTATAGTGACTGGATCACACTGATACCACCTAAACCTAATGACCATTTCCAGATGGAGAGATGACTAGGCATTGTGTGTCTTCTGGGTGTCTTCACATTAATGAAGTACACAACATTGCTGGGGAGGTGTTCCCACCCAGAACATTCCATCTGAGTCCCTTCAAGTCTCTTGCTCCAACTACCAGTTCATAAGAAAAACAGGATGGAGGAACACCATGGGGATATGGTCAGCAAAACCCAGGAAGTTGGAAATGCTGCAGGACGGAGGACCCATTTCTTCAACAGATGGGAAGGGAAAGAAGCAGAAAGAGAACCTAAAGATTCAAGAAGACTTAAAAGACACATCAGCCAAATGATTGTGTCGGAGCTGTTTGAATTCCGATTTGGAAACAACTTTTTAAAGATGTTTGGGGAAATTTGAACATTAACTTTCTATTGAAAAATTTTAAAAACTGTTTTTGATTATTTGATGTGTGATAATGCTCTCGGGGTTACACTTTTCAGCGTTGCTTTTCAGAAATGAGTGTAAAGTATAAGAGTACCGCTGAGATGATAACACACAAGGGATTTGCCTTCAATTAATTGGAGTGGGGAGGAAAATAGGTGAGGAATATGTGTTGGTGAAACAAGATTAGCCATGCGCTTGTTACTGACATGAGGGTTTGTTGTACTGTGCTCTTTTGAATATGAACTTGAATACGAACATTTCCGCTTAGTGTTTCCCTTTCTTCCCAAGTTTTCTGTCTCAAAAATTATATGAATCCATGCAATTAGTCCCTTGATTTCTGTGATTTTCTTTCATCCAGCACTTCTTAACCCTCACTCCAGGTTGGGCTTAGGGGAATCCTTAACCATTCTGAATTTGTGTCAGATCCTTGCTTTTATGCATACGTCCAGGGTTAGTACCACTCACGACTCTGAGAATGCATGGAAAGTAGAGATCGGCTGGAAGCACCTCTGTAGCCCCCTCCCACAAATTAGAAGTCATTCATTTTAGCACAGCTCTACTAATATTTGATTCCTAAGGGCCTAAGCAAAACGAGAACAGCAAAAACGTTCGAGTATCCTAATAGGTACATGGAATTTGTGGACCACATAATTACTCGCACTTTTTAGAAGCATTTTAATGGACTGTTTTTATAAATGATTTCTTTCATACTTTGACAGAACTTTATTAAATGTTTGAATTCTTTTCTAGTGTCTATATTCCTTCACTAAAATTAAGGCAGGAAAAAAATATTCCCAGAATCTTTTGAGAGATTCTTTGGATTTATTAGTAAAAGGAGGGAAGAAGCTGTAAAAGTTATAAACACTTTAGGAGATGTGAGTCCAAATAACTTTGTGACTACAGGTATTATAGTGACTGAGTTAGCTTAACGATGTTGGGGTCCAAAAGGAGAGAGAGGAGCAAAAAGGAACGTGGGAAGATTACTAAGATAAACATCACTTACTGGAGAATTTTCCAGAATACAGGAAAATAGTAATGTTCACCACCTTCCTCCCCCTGCTTCCCACACTCAGTGGTCCTTGTCCCTGTCCTGTGTCATAGAAATATTTTTTTTCTGTGTGGCTGTGCACAATGTATGTTCCTTCCTTAGTGATGAGGGGAAAAAACCCTCAGATCATTTTAAAAATTCTTAATATATGGTTTGTGATGTAGAATAAGTATAATTTAATAATAAAGTATTTCATCACTAGGATTAAGTTTTCAGCAGTAGAAAACCACTACACTGTGATGTGTAAGAAAAAAGGTTTAGACATTTAACCCTTCTCAAAGCAGATCATGTGATGAATGTGTAGAAAGGTAAAGTCCCATCAGATGAAGACTCACAGACTGATGCACGGTGCAACTGAAACTTCTTCCTGTTGAGAACAGTTGTATTGGCTCAGTTGACTGGCAGGAGGGAGGAGACATAGACATGTTTAGCAAATTGGTAAATTAAAAAACAAAGACATTGATGCTCTGACCTATCACTCTCAGACTCCTCTGCTTTTAAAATAGTTAATAACTTTGACTAAATGTATTTTTGTGTCCTACTTGGTTTATTTTTGCATATATCTGGGCTTTGATTTGTATTCTTCTTATTCATCGAATTTACCAACCTGCCATTCTTGTCTTCCTAATTCTTCTTCATGCAAGAATCTGAACTTGAAATTCTGTAACTGCCAACTGTGACCGATCAGTGTTTCTGCTACTGTTGGCTCGGCGTTCCATCTGGTCCCTTACAGGTGCCACAGCTGTGACTTTCCGAGGTGGGGCAAGCCGCCGCCTCGCCGAGTCTCTGGCCTTACCGGTCGTCCTGGTGGGGATGGCTGGGAGGACAGCGTTGCTGGCACCACGGGCCTACCTGCGTGAGCGAGCGAGTGCCACTTTAGTAGTGGGCTGATCAAATGAGGAATGGAGATCAAATGGAAAGATGAATTACCCATACTAACTGGAAATCTTTCTCTTTAGATGGAATCTGCCTGTGTCTCCATTCATGAAGCTCTAAAGTCGGTCATCGACTATCAGACTCATTTCCGTTTGAGAGAAGCTCAAGGCCGAAGCCGAGCGGAAGACCTAAATACCAGAGTGGCCTACTGGTCCGTAGGGGAAGCCCTCATTCTCCTGGTGGTCAGCATAGGGCAGGTATTTCTCCTGAAAAGCTTTTTCTCAGATAAGAGAACCACCACAACTCGAGTTGGATCCTAACTACGTTTTGAGAATTGACGCACCATCGCCACATGATATTGCTGTCCTCTGATTAGTTTTAGGTACCGAAGAACTTAATGTTGGCAACATTTTTAAACCTTACTCATACACTTGGGGGGGGGATGTACAGTGCATATCCCCAAGCTGTGGAAAGGACACCTTTTTTTATTTGTAAAGGTAGAAAAACTTCGGAACTTACTTTGGGCTCCCCATGTTCAATAGTCAGCACCAATGATCTTTTCTCGGTTGTTTCTATCTACGCACACTAAACTGGTATTTTGATTTCTTTTAGCCATTTAAAAGTACTTTTCTTATAGGTAGTGGATATTTTAAAAACCTTCAATTTAATATCTGTGTGTTGTGGAGGAAGAAAATTGCCTTTTAATTGTTTATAGGGCAGTTTTGTTTTGCAGAAAACCAAAAGTGATTAACTGTAGCCCAGGCCCTATTCTGCACTGTTTAATTTGGGGGTGGGGGGGAAGCCACCATGGAAACGTTAGTTAACATTGATATAACTTTAAATCGATGCATCATGGTAAAATTTATTTCTTGCTAGCTTGGAAAATGTCAGATTTTTGGTTTTTTGTGTGTTTATTCTGTGATTTATAAGCAGGTACATTCTTTTTTTCATGAAGACATGCTTACCACAGAGAAAATAGTATGTTTCGATAGCATAACAGTTTACACAAGCCTTAAAAATCAGACTGTTAAAACAGGTAGAGTAATTACAGAACAACTTAAGATTCTATAGTGGGAGGCAAATGAAATGAGAAAAGTTTTAGCGAGTTATCCGCACATTACTACATTTTCAGTGCTTTTACAAAGAAAAAAGGTGGTCTGTTTTATTTTAACATTTTGATTGGCTGGTTCGTGCCCTAATGTGGCTTCAGTGTCTGAGTCATTCCCGGCTTAAATTAACAGTTGTAATATTCGTATTGTAAAAGTGCCATATATTTTATCCTGATGGGTGTGATGCACTGAGAAGTTAGTTGCTTTGGTTTTTTCTTTCTGTCTTTCTTTTTTGTTTTGGTTTGGTTTGGTTTTTGGTTTTTGGTTTTTGTCTTGCACATGTAATTTGTACAATCTCTGGTCAGCCACCCAAAGACGATTTGAAACTTTAGACTGCCTTGTTTCTCATTTGATCATCTTCATCGATTGTACTGCATTTAATGACTATTAAACAGTGCGTATTCTGTACACTATAGGGTTTAGACTGTGTTTGTATTTTATAACTTGTGTAGACTGAGCTGATTGATTTGTCAGATTTGTTCAGGTATTCCAGAAGAGAATACAAGACAAATACGAAACTCTATAAGTGTTTAAAGCTTTTCTGCTGTTAAAAAAAAAAAAAAAAAGGCAACTGCTTTTTGCCCTGCCTCCCTCCCCCACCCAAGAGTGATGAGTGTTGAGCAAGACTGTCCTATTGTAGAGATTCTGGTAAGTGGCACATAGCTAGAATAGAATAGCAGTTCGAGTCACTTATCACTGTGGACTAGAAGTTAACTCTTAATGCTAAGCTGTCTTTAACTGTCTTCAAAGAGCATATACATTTCTGCGTGTAAGAGCAGGACAAATTCATAGTTGTCATGCTTGCTAATTTCAGTTGCCACAGTGTAGCAAGGGACGAACCATTTTCAACCCTTCAATTCTAAAAATTTCCAAGACCAAATAGCAACTCCTTAAACTGTGTATCAGGAACTGGAAGTCTCAGATTTTGCAGATTTACCTATTTGGGTTCTTGCAGTGGAGTTGCCCTGCAGCTTTCTAAGTGTCCCTCTAGATTTAGATTTGCACGTTTTCAGCACTAGCGTTAATGTGATTGATAAGCACGGGCGTGCGTCCCGTGTCCTCCTCTCTGGCTACCGGTCTGCTCTGTTGACTTCGGACACTTGACACCATAATGAGGCAGAGTCAGGTATCATCAGTGCACGGAGTTTAGCATAGGTAATGTAGTCCTCTGATCTGTGCCTATCAAAACTTCATGATACTAGACTATTACTACAAATAACTTTTGATGAAACTATTGAGATCGGTTACAGTTTCTGAAATCACCACTGTTAACCCGCTGTAGAAAATAGTACAGGCTTGGTCTAGTCTGTATGCAACTGGTTCAAGTTTGATGGCTGTCTATACTCCACCGGGTATGTGTATGTAAATTAGAAAATACATCTCTATCCAGACCTAAATGTTAAGACCTTTTTTCTCTCTTCCTCCTACTATATAATTTGTAGCTCATCTTTTTTCTTTAATCCTTTCATAACTTGTTGGAACAGTTTGAATTTCCCAAATATTTATGTTTAGACAGATGGCTCAGAATATATATTTAACATCACTAGCTGTATATATTTTTAAAGTAAAATAAATAATGGAAAGGGACTTGATACACAAGTTTATTACTAAAATTTCAACTGTGTGAAGATCCATTTAAAGATATTACTTTGCTAATAATCTAAACATTCTTTTTTCTATTAAAGAAACAAATGGTTTGTGGTTCACAGCTTTCATCCTGACTGATACGATAATCAACTTTGAAAATACAGTGAACTGAAAAGCAATTTTATTCTTTGAAAGATTTCATTTAAATCTCTGTACATCCACTTTTGCTTCAGTTTGTAAATGTGTAACATTTATAGTTAAATAGGACAAAGCAGAGCCTATGACTATTGTTTTAAAAAATTAAACAAGTTAATATATAAATAATTCAAAGGGGGTTTTCATTTACTTTTGAAAAGAAAAATTTCTCTAAACACATGTTGGTTCTCCAGGATTGCACCAATCAATTCTTGTAGAATAAAAAAAAAATCTTTCAACAAACTGACTTCATTTGTTTCTGTCAGGATTTGTCTTTTTAAAGCTCCTTACAGACTTGCAGCTTGGGGTACAGTTTGTAGCGAGAGAGTGATTTTTTTTTTTTTTTTTTTAAGTAGGCTCCACACCCAGCGTGGAGCCCAACTCAGGGCTCAATCTCACAACCCTGAGATCATGACCTCAGCCGAAATCAAGAGACAGACACTCAACCAACTGAGCCACCCAGGTGCCCTGGGAGAGAGTGATTTTTATTTGGTATTTCATTTAAACATCTCAGGGGCTGGTCAAGAAAGATAAAGAAGAGGAATATCACCTCTAAACTACCTCCTTTTTAACCTTTGTGCATTTCTTACTGCAAGTTTAGGTGAAAAGAAGTTAAACCCTCAGTTTCCTAAAAAGCTCTTCGTTTTTGTGGGTTTTTTTTTTTTTTTTTTTAAGTAAATTAACCTTAGGTTGTTCAATACCAAGTTTCCTCGGGTTTTTTCCTTTCCCTTCATAATGCAGTCATAGGGGACATCCTGGTTCCTGGGCAAAATTCAACAAAAGTAGCAGAGAAGGAACAGCAAACATAGGTTAATATTTATTGAATGCTTACCCTGTGCTGGGTGCTATGCTAAGTATTTTACTTGTGTCGACATGTTTCATCTTTGCGATAATCCCGTGAACTAAGGATATTCTTCCCATTTCACAGATGAGGAGACAGAGGCGTAAGAACCTTCCTATACCTCAGTCGTGAGCAGCGGTGGTGTGACCCGTGGCAGTCCGGCTCCAGAGCCCTCTCCGGCCACTGTGCAGCACTGCCTTATACACACCAATTAAGGGTAGATCTCGGAAGGCTTAGCTATCTTGATTTCGGTACAGCTCAACGGCACTTCAGGGCTTTTTGGCTTTGGAGTCACAGCCAAGTTCAAGTTATGGTTGTGTGACCTCACACAGAGGATTTTATGAATTCTCTGTATTTCTGTTTCTTCATCTACTGCTAAGGTAATACCTACTATAATGAGAGGTATTTATGAAACACTTAGTGCCTATCATAGATAAACACTTCATAAATAGCTCTGTTTTTCTCATTGGTCCAGTTCTAGTCTCTTGATCTTTAGGTTCTGAAGTTCTTACTGTAGCCTCTATTCGTATGGCTCTTAAATAATATGTAACACAAATGTGAAAGCGTTTATCTATTGTGTACTTAATAGTCTGCTAGATGTTTCAAAAATGAAGAAGATAGTCTGACCCCCAGGAACCTAACTTAGTTGAGGGAGACAGGATAGCTCTATGAGCAACTAATGTTACTTAAGTAGTGAAGCGAAATCGACTTGGAGAGTCTCAAGACATTCTAGGATGCTAGAAGTAAAGAGACTACAGGATCTAAAGACTTACTCCCCAAGGAATTTCACTCTGGCTTCCCACAGGGGAAGCCCATGGTTGTCTAACTAGGCCAGTGATTAAGTGGATTAATCTCTAATTCAGGGATATGGGCTTTTAGCCAGTCTCCGTTGCCACGTATTGAAAAAACATGTTCTTTAACTTTGTTAATAATAAAAGTGATGTTTGATCTAACTTCTCTGTCATGGTTGTTTCCAGATCTGGGAGGAAATACAAGGATGGCATCACCAAATGCACTGTTTTTCAGTCCACATTGCCCCATTTTATCCATAAGATACTAGAAGTGATCATATTACTGGCTGGAATCAAGATAGACTAGAAGTAACACTGGCCTGGCACAGTCTCTTTTAGCACTGGTAACTACTAGTGATTACTACTCCTTTAATGTTTTGGTTTTTTTTTTTTTAATTCATGAGAGTCAGAGAGAGAGAGAGAAGCAGGCTCCCCGCCTAGCAGGGAGCCCGATGTGGGACTCGATCCCAGTACCCTGGGATCATGACCTGAGCTGAAGGCAGACGCTTAACCATCTGAGCCACCCAGGCGCCCGATTACTACTCCTTTAAACAGAAAAGGCAACACAAGAATTTGAGAATGAATGGCTCAATGAGTAAAATCCACTCAATCCCAGCATCCACTTGGATGTATTTAGGTTACTTTTATAGATACATGCATATATTTTAAAGAATTGGTATTATGTTGCCTGAATAAGATTTTCAACTTAAAATTGTGAATTCTGACATAATACAGAAATTATTAAATATGTATAATTTAGAGAGAAGTAATGTAAAGCGTACATTCGTGTAACCAGTGCTCAGGTTGAATGCGGCATTCCCTGCACCGTAGTAAGCTTCTGTGTATCCTTAACTGATCACATCATTGACCTTCCCTAGACATAACCAGTGTTCTGATGGTAATGAAAATAATTTTCTTATTTTTCTTTATAGTCTTATCAGTTTTGTGTAATAGTTCTTCTCAAGCCACTCTTTAATTTCCAAACCATCACAAACTGATACTTGTGTAAATACAGAATCACGTGCTTCAGTATTTTGGCACCGTCAAATTACTATCAGCCTTTGTAACTGCTTGCTTTCTAGGCATGCTTACGTTCTCTTTTTGTGCTTATCTCTTCTTCAACCAGTAACAGTTGGGTGTGGCCTTGTGGACCACACTGTGAATAGCACTGATGATAGTTTTGGGTTGTTGTTTTTTTTTTTTAAAGATTTTATTTATTTATTCGAGAGAGGCAGAGGGAGAAGCAGGCCCTCAAGGAGCAGGGAGCCCGATGTGGGACTCGATCCCAGGACCCTGGGACCATGACCTGAGCCGAAGGCAGACGCCTAACCATCTGAGCCACCCAGGCGCCCAGTTTTGGTTTTTTTTTAAGATTTTATTCGTTTGAGAGAGAGAGAGCATGAGCAGAGGGAGACGGAGAAGCAGACTCCCCACTGAGCAGGGAACCCGACATCAGGCTCCACCCCAGGACCCTGGGATCATGACCTGAGCCGAAGGCAGACGCCTAACCGACTGAGTCACCCAGGTGCCCTTTATTAAAGTTTAACAAAGTATTAAATCCTATTTAGTCATTAGGATAATACATGTATTCTCTTGCGACTTTGTTTTGCTGAGTCATCCACGTTGATGCCTCTGGCTATGGTTGGTTTCCATCCTGTGAGTGCACTGCAGTTGTGTGTCTCTTCTGCTGTTGCTGGCACTTGGATTTTTGCAAAGCCACGAAGAACATTCTTACACATCTGTCCCATTGCATATGTGTAGGATCTCTTGAGACTAATACCTCCAGGAGTAGAACTGTTTGCATATGGAGTAGGTGCATCTTCATCTCTACGAGGTCATATCTCACTTTTTGAAAGCGATTGTAGCAATCAGTGCTTTGACCAGCAGCAGGGGGATGGCTCCACATTTGGTATTGTCAGACTTGGAGACTTTCAAAAAATCTCCTGGGTGTGTGACATCCTAAAGGCAACACTGAAGAATTCGAGAAATAATAGGGCAAAGAATACAATCCATCCATAATCCCACCATCCATTTAACCTGTACCCCTGAAACAAATAATACATTATATGTTAATAATTTTTAAAAAAATGTATTTCAGTTACCTTTTTAGATACATGTATGTGTTCTTAAACTGGTATTCTACTTGGTGTTGCTTAATTTGCATTTCCATGAGGTTCATTTGTTTGCTTACCATTTGGATTTCTTTTGTAAAGTGCCTGTTCAAATCATTTGCCCATTTTTTTTAAAAAATGGGATTGTTCCAACATTTTTTGGTTCACAGGATCCCCTTATAAATTCAGGAGGCTAATCCTTTGGTTATAACTGTTTCAAATATTTTCTCACAGTCTCTTTATCTTTCTGATCCTAATGCAGTGTATCAGTTTTTGTTCTGTATTGTTGGTGGTTTTGTGTCTTGTGGAAGAAATACTTCTCTGTCCTGGAGTCGTGAATATCTTCTTTTGTGCTATGTTCTAAAATATGTAAATTTTGTCTTCTACTTGAATCAAGTTTTATGTAGAGGATAAGATAAATAACCTCGTTTTTGTTTTTTTCTTAATTCCTTGAAAACTCCTCTTTCTCTGTTTTGATTTGCCATACCAATTCTGTCATCGATAAATGCCCATATTTACCGGAGTCTGTTTCTGGGCTTTTCATTCTATTCCATTGGTCACTCTGTCCATACATCAGTAACATATTGCCTTAATTACTAAAGATTTTAAAATTCTTGATGTCTGGTAAAACAGGTCTTTATACCTTTTTCTTCGAGATTTTTGGCTGTCATCTATTTGCATTTTTGTGCAAAGTTTGGAATTAGCCCAATTTTCAACTAAAAATAATCTGTCACTTTTCTGTATTACTGTCATGGATATTTTGCTTGGATCTTCAACTTCTTAGTCTAATATATATTTAAAACTGTAGATTTCCTTCTAAATGCGACTTTAGCTGTATGTTCATTTTCTGTGCTCTGTGACAAGTGACCGCAAGTTTACCCGTCTACAACAGCGTACGTCTCTTATCTCCCAGTTGCTCTGGGTCAAGAGTCTGCGCACAGCTTAGCTGGGTCCTCTGTTCAGGGGTTCACAAGGCTGCATCAGGTAGTCACCTGGACTGCGTTCTCAGCTGGAGCATGGGGTCTTCTTCCACACTCATCAGGTTGCTGACAAAATTCAGTTCCTTGTGGCCCTCCGTCACTAGAGGCTGCCTGTCCATATAAGCAGATCACGTCTTGACTGCATGCTGCTTCCTGGCCAGGAGGAGAGACTCTCTCTGCTGTGAGTCCCTTTCACAAAAGCCCAGCCAGGATTCACCTGATGAGGTCACAACCACCCAGAATAAGCTCCCTTTTGACTAACTCAGAGCCAACGGAATAGGAACATTGATTGCATCTCTAAAATCTTATCATCTTTGCCCTATCTGTTGGTAAGAAGCAAGTTTGTAGGTTCTGCCCTCACAAGGGTATGGATATGGGGATCTGTTGTAGAGGCTGTCTTGGAATTCTACCTATCACAGACTCCATTCTACATGTCTGGTGATCTGTTTTAGTTGCTTATTAACTTCAGAGTTTTCTGATTTCATTATTACTTGTGTTTGACCCACAGATACTATTTGGAACTAGAGTTCTTAATTTTCAGCCATAGCTATCTGAGTGATTGCATTGTTATTAGAGAATATATTATTCTCTGCGTGATTGAAATTCTTTGACATTTGTTGACAGTTGCCTTATGACTCCATTTACCTCCCTTTCTATATGTTGTCATGTATTTTGTATCTTTAAATATGTCATGATTATTGTTTTGTATAGTCAGTATTCCTTTAGGTTTACCCATATCTTTACCATCCTTTTTGCTCTCTGTTCTTTGCTGTGTCTTTGAGCTACCATCTGGAACAATTTAGTGTAGTTCGGCTAGTGGCAGATTCACCTGAATTTTTTTTTGAAAATGTCTTTATTTTTCCTTCCCCTTTTTTTTTTTAAAGATTTTATCTATTTGAGAAAGAGAGTGAGAGAGAGCATGAGCAGGGTGAGGGGCAGAGGGAGAAGCATACTTCCCACTGAGCAAGGAGCCCGATGCGGGGTTTGATCCCAGGACTCTGGGATCATGACCTGAGCCAAAGGCAGACGCTGAACTGACTGAGCCACCCATGCACCCCTTTTTCCTTCATTCTTAAAGGGTATTTTTTTCTGGGTCTGGAATTCTCTTTGGGTGAAGATCTTGAAGATATCTTCCCATTGTCTTCTGGCTTCTGTATCGTTGCTATGAAGAAATGAGCTATTAGTCTCTTGCTCCATTGAAACTAATGGAATCTTTTTCCTCTGGCTGCTTTCAAGGTTTTTTCCTTGTATTTACTTTTCTGCAGCTTTATTATGCTGTGTCTTAAGGGAGGATTTCACTGTATTTTTCCACTTGGATTTTGTTTGGCATCTTGGGTATGTGGATTGATGCATCAATTCTGGGAAATTCTCAGCTATAATCTTTAAATTCCGCCTCTGCCCAGTATTCTCGCTCCTTGACTTCTGGGGCTCCAACACGTTAGACCTTCTTTGGTGTATTTCCTGTATCTTCATTTTTCTAGGTGTTCTGCATTTTTTTTCTCTGCATCATCCTAGATGGTTTCTTCTATAGCCTATAAATCATGAATTCACTTTTCAGCTATTTCTAATTGGCCATTAGCCTCATTTATTGAGTTCATAATTTCATTTTTTATATTTTTTATTTCTGGTTTTGTTGTGTTTTTTTGTTTGGTTGGGGTTTTTTTGGTTAGGTTCTTTTTCTTACGTGCTCTGTTACATTTTATGGTCTCCAGTTCCTTGCTGCATTTTTAAGTGAGGATTTTATTTCCATGCATTATCCTTTGTGTCTGAAAATTCCAGTATCCACAGCCTGCTATCTCTAGTTCATGTCGCTGGTAATTAGTGCTGTCTTGGCATTGTCTTTAACTGTTTGCTTGTCTTGGCATTGTCTTTAACTGTTTGCTTGAAAACACTGGGAAAAAAATATAGAAATAATTTGAGATCTGGGATGACTTTATCTTCCTTAAGAGGTTTTTATTTCTCTCTGCCAAGTGCCTGAGGTCATTAGGAGTCTGGAACCTAGGCTTTAGATTCTCTGTCTCCCTCCAGATACCCACTGCACTGCACTCTGTACCCCGACTCCAGGTTACAGCCCTTGGGCTCCAGTCTTTGCCTTTCCAACTCTAATTGTTGGTGAAACTACAACTTTGCCTCTCTACTAATTCCTCTAGACTGGTAATCCACCACAAGGGCCAAGTAGTTCTGGCACTATTTCCTGAACTCTAATCCTCTTCCTTAATTTGACCTGGTAAATCCTATCTTTTATGTCTTCAA